AACAAGACCGGTCCCAACACCGATCCCTGAGGGACACCACTCGTTACTGGTCTCCAGCCGGACATCGAGCCATTGACCACAGCTCTTTGTGTGAGGCCATCCAGCCAGTTCTTTATCCACTGAGTGGTCCATCCATCAAATTGATGTCTCTCCAATTTAGAGACAAGGATGTCATGTGGGACAGTGTTGAACACTTTGCACAAATCCAGGTAAATAACATCAACTGGTCTATCCCTGTCCATCAGTTCTGTAGCCCCATCATAAAAGGCCACCAAATTGGTCAGGCAGGATTTCCCCTTAGTTAAGCCAAGCTGGCTGTCACCAAACACCTTGTTGATTTTCATGTGCCTTAGTACGCATTCCAGGAGAATCTGCTCCAAGATTCTGCCAGGCACAGAGGTGAGACTGACTGGTCTGTAATTCCCCGGGTCATCCATTTTCCCCTTCTTCCCTTTTTCCAGTCATTGGGAACTTCACCTGACTGATTACAAAAGTACAACTCCCTGTTCCCTGACCATGCTCCGAACTGCTTCTCACTATTCATCTCCTGTTGTTTTGCTCAGTCTAGGCCAACAGAGTCAAATGAGGTGGGCATTTATCTTCTTTTCCTTAGGAGATTACCCCACAGACAAATTAACACCATAGTCAAGAATTTTTACCCTCCATGTAGCTGAAGGTATTTAAAATACCAAGAGGAGTAAAACATGGTTGTGTACATTTTAAGTTGGGGTTAACTACTTGTAGTCATTGCTGTGGAGGAGCTCATCCATTACACATAATTACATTGGTACCACAGACTTCCTGTCACACACACATTGAGAACAAGAAAATAAGCATACAGCAGAACAGGGAAAAAAAAAAAAAAAAGAAAAGAAAAAGCCACACAAGAGATTACAAAGATCCTGGAAGAGAAGGAGCATTTGTCAGTGCCTGAGTGAACCTTCTGCACAGCTCTTCTAATCTGCCTGTTTCTCGCCTATGCAAGAATGCTAGGCATGCAATAAATTTCACACGTCCACAGCATAGATATATCCTTGCCATGACCTCTGGGACACTACACAAATCAGACATGCTCCCAAGTAGCCCAGCAACATCCACAGTTTAATCCGATGAGACACACGTGTGGGTTCACAATTTAGAGAAAGAAGAAGAAATCCTCTCATTAATCTGCTCCATACCTACAGCACAGAAAACACAAGGCAGCCCATTCAAGAGGTACCACAGTCAATGGGAAGTGAAAGTACTCAGCATCTTTTAGGAGGTATTCTACCTCTCTCAGGATCAAGGCATACTCCATTTCTTCCTTAAGGGCCTTCATATCTTCTGCTTCTAATAAAATGAAACTGCAGCTACCCACATTGATTTTCAGTAGCTACAAGGCAGGCAGAAATGCTCAAACATGATTTTTTCAGATGGCCTTGATGCTGTCACTAACAAGTGAGCAACTTCCTGTGAATATTTATTAAAAATTCACTGTGGCCTTAATAGACTTCAATAAATTTTGCTCTTTTCCCCTGCTACTTCAATTTGCTGGAAAGCCTGTAATGTTAAAACCATCAAAGTATGGCTGCTTTGGTTTATATGCAAATTCCAATCATCATCGTTACATAAGTGGTTATGCAATGAAAATATACATAATATACAAACCTGCCCATGTCACTGAGAATTATTTACAAGAGCTATAAATCAAAGTTGCATCCTGTTTTGGTTTACATTTAAGGACCTACTGCATACAAAATGTCATGTATGCCCAAAATTTGTTTACAGTCACTGCACCCAAAAAAAGCCAACAGAATTGAATTGCCTGCTGAAGGCTATTGTTTAGTCAAAGTCCATGCAAAATTGTATTAGAAACTTTGAAGTTAAAACGTGAACATTGACTACCATAGAGGGCCCTAAAGACAAAGACATTTACTCAATGTAAATGTTCAGTGAAGGCAAAGGTCGCCTCAATATATATATATTTTCCTGAAATCTGACCATGTTAAAAACTCCACATCCTGTTCTAAAGGTTTGCTTAAGAGCTGAAATATTTTCCTGGGAGGAATCAGCAATGAAACATTACTAACCTTGGTGATTAATTACGTTGTAATGGTCAAGTTATAATAACCTCACAGGACTGTAGAACCTCTTCTGTTAGGGCAGATCAGGCATGAGCAGAAGAGCTGCATGGCAAGCTATGCCTTCAGTTTGCAGGAAATGATGTTTTATCTGAACTGGTGGCTTTGGTCCAAATCAAGCAGGAAACAAACTCTTTGAAAATGGCTACAAACTGGAAATTCCAAGAAAGGTCACTTCAGAAACATCAAAACACTTCTAAAACACAGATCCCAAGTTCCCAGTCCTGTGGCTGATCAGTGACATGATCTCTGGCAATGGCATCTGCGAACACCAGCTCAACACAGTAGCTGTGGAAGCTCACAAAAAACCTGGGGCTTCAGTGCAGCCTTGATGCTGTAGGCTATTCCAGGAAGCCTGCCCAAAGTCACAGCTTCATGTTAGGGAATGCAGGAGCACCAGCAGTCCAGCCTCAGCCAAGACTCAGCACTTCCAGACATGGATTTCAAAATTGAGTTCAAGCTTGCAGGATTTTCTTGCTTTTATCTTTAAAGCAGGTTGGAAGTAGTAGCCCAAGACCACTGGCTGGAGTTTAAAGCCTGCAAGCCCTGGACAGTCCTCAGTGCCATTGGAGAGGCTACTCTGTGACAGAGGTGGTTGCATTGCCTGGGCTGACCTATCAAGAAATGCCCCAGGAACTTAGGGAGCTCATTTTGGCAAGAACACCAAATGGGGTAACTCCAATCAAAACATTTCAGGGCCAGATGTGCTATTTCCAGCTAAACTTTGTCTCACCAATAAATCTGTAGCATGGAACAGAAATATAAAACTCAAAGGCCTTACTCTCCAGTGCTTGCCTTCATATAGATTCATTTGTATTTATGAAACACAGTACAAAAAAACACTTATTCAGACCAACTTTAAGATCTTGAGACAAGAAGCTGACGCTATTATTTATGGGTACCAAGAATTCAGCAGCAATGCCTTCAGCTACTCTATGTGCTCTGGCTGCTCCCTCCCACTTCTATACCACAAGCTACCTCCTCAGATCTCTTGGCAACTGTTCACAGGGTTGAGATGAAATTTTTTCAAACTTCTGGAATAAGATAGAGTTTTTGTTCTGTATAGAAAGGCAAATAATGTACTGAGAACAAGGCAAAGCAAAGACAAAGTGTGACCTCTATATTTGCACATCTGCTTCAGTTCACACTCCAAGTGAGATTTATTATTAAAAACTTCAGGTAACTGATATGCATTTTGAAGAATGTGAAAGAACAACACTGCTTCCCAGGAAGCACAGCAGGACAGTATAACACTTGCTTTTGGTTCTGCATTGATAATTCCAGACTTCAGAGGAGGATCAGTTGTTTGACGAATCTCAAGTATATGATCTAGTGCCCTGAGGTTCCCTGATTTATTTATGACTCCTTTTAACAAAGAGAGATTAAATCAAGTTTTCCTGTAGAAACCAATCCCTTTTTTTCTTGTTGAATATGTTTGTTATCAGATCACATAAGCATATTTTAATGCAACACTACAACTACTTTCTCGTCTGCAGTTTAAACTTAGGTGGCTATATGACTTAAAGAAAAGAATACATTACTGCAGGGGTCTGAGCGGATGGTGATGGTGTATGTGTCAGCTACTCTGGTTTGTGTACAAGGTTCCTTAGAATCTTTTTTCAGCATTTTAACTTCTCTGACTACCCTGGTTCACAACAGAGTCTTTGAAACTTGGTCACTACAGTAGAAAGCTAGACTTCATCACCCAAAGAGTTAGAAATTGAACCTGAATCAGCATGTATCTTTTTGTCCCCATGCATCGGCTTGGGCATTCTGGCCCAAGGTGATTTGAAATGTAAGAGCCTTTTCAAAGTACTGCTAACTGAAAGTTCTTTTCTGTTAGTAGATCCCAACCAAGTAATCCTATCACCACCACCACAGGGGTTCTGGGAAAGAGTCTGCTGGCTCTTACTTGTGGCTTCACACGTTCTGTAGGCTGAGAAATCATTGCTGCTCACCAGCCTCTGCTCCAGACACAAACTACATTCTGGAGTGAGCTGGAAGTGAGGTGAAAGCAGAACAAAGACATGCTAGACAAGGACGAAGACAAGTAGGCAAGAGGATAGAATTGCTGGGATTAATAAAGAAGGCACTAGTTACTTCTTTCTCTTGATGAGCAGGGTATTAACATGCATAAAACCATACAGCAAAGTCAATGCTGCCTGCATGAAAACAGAGCAGCACAGCATGTAAATCCAGGCTATGCTGAATCCCCACAACATCTAGCAAAGCCACTGAGGTGGAGCAATGCTGGGGCAAGACTATTGCACCTCAGTGGTCCCTGAACTAAAGGGGGAAGCTGGCACTCTTCCATTCCCACATGTGTACCAACAATGCATCCAGTCTGTTTTCCTGGACCAAAGCTTTCCCTTGCACCTTCTGGTCATTTACACATATGCAGCAAGCAGGTAAAATACTACCAGGTAGCCCTGGCAGCTACTGACAACCACCCTATACAGACTTTTCACATTGTAAGAGGTATATGGGCAAGAATGGTCTAAGGCTATATTTATCTTTTACAATGCTTCCTTTTAAGATGATTTAGCATAGTCCCACAGAAAAAGGTCTATATTTATCCAAGGAATCTTGGTGAGTTGGCTGAATTCCATTCAGAGATTTTGGTTAATGCATCTCATCTATCCTGTAAAAGTAGCAATTATGCACCTGGAAGCAAAGCTTGGTTTCCAGGGCCCCTTACCTATGCCAGTAAAGGTACCAACTGCAGCTGCAGTTTACAAGAAAAGAGACATTAGAGCAACAACTCCACAATTTACAATCCAGGATTATGAATTAAATATTCCCCATGAAAACATTTCATTCACAAAACTGTGGGAAGAGGAAGATCATCTTATTTAGCACCAACCCCACCCCCCCAAAAAAAAAACCCAACCAAACTTGTGACTCCAAACATGTATTTTGAGAATAACAAAGAACTATGACATTTTTGCTATGCCAGAAAAATGATCACATCTTGATTGATTATTTTGCTTTCTCACTTCCTTTTCCAAGCTGAAATGTCAACTATTTTAAGTAAAATCAGAATATTACTCAACCACAAACCAGAAAAAAAACCTTGATGCCAGAGCTGTCATCAAAAAGGCACATTCCAGTTATATACTTGCAGTTTTGCTATTGAGAAAACAGAGATGAAACCCTACCAAATGCTTTGCTGCTTAATGACACAATCACTAGCATATTATTAAAGCTCAACACTCTGACATCCCAGTCATTATATCTGCGAACATTATGCAATGAGGAAACAATCCTTTTATTGAAACCAAGGATGTCTAATTGTGACAGGTGAATGTTTTAGCTACAGAGATGAAATCCATACACATACTATTTTTATGCAGTGCTCATGTTCCATTTACACAATTTGCTAGTTTAAAAGGCTTTTACAGTCAACCAAGAGTTCAAGTATGAAACTTCATAACAGATGAAAATTATATTGTGTTACTGAAGTCAGCTAGATAAACAATACTTTCTGATTATGATGATATCATTATGTGCTTCACGATGAACAGCAAGACAGAAAACATTCACCTGGCTTCATATTCAAAGTAGTTGCTGAGATTCATGTATAAATGGATGAATGAACAGAAGGGTAATTGTGTATTATTTTAATATAATAAAGTCAAATTTATTCAAATTGGTAAGAAAAAAAAATGTGTTTCTTTGTATCTTGTGTGGAGTTCTGCCTTACTGAATTTGTGTTTGCTTATGATTCTGACAAGCTGCAAAAAATAGATATAAATACTGTCAATGCTAAATTGTATCTCTATTCTTTTGCAAGCAAACTGTCACAATATTACTCTTATTGCAAAGATTTTGAAAACTAATAGCTAAGTGAAACACTCGACTTAATGACTTGAAATAAATATCTTGCAACAGAACTGTTTAAGCCACTGTAAAAACAAATCTCTTAAACAGTAGAAGCACATGCACCACACGAACAGGGAACCTGTGTGCACTGAAATCTCTCACAGCCTTGCCGCTGACTTCAGTAAGAACTAGATCAAAGTAAAAACTTTCACTACTTTTATATTTCCTTTTGGATTGAGTCTTCCTTTAATTTCTTGCTATACCCAGCCAAAGATGCACTCCTCCTAGAGGAAAAAGGTGACAAAAGTGAAATGGTGCATTCCCTTTAATGCTAAGAAGTCAAATATAAAGCATGCCAAACAAATACTCTATCCAGATCCCTGAGGTTTTACTTTGGACCCTCACAGAAGGACTTGGCTCAATAAAAAGGTAAACTCCACCTCCCAGCCTTGGCAATTCCCACAGCCCTTTCTGCTGAGGACAGAGCTGCTCTACTTTCCAAATATGACTGAAATCTTGAAAACATTTGAGCCCAATGTCAGGAATACTGAATAGCAGTGCTTATTGATAACACTAAACAACAATATCAGTGTGTCTTTGGAATGTGATTATTTTGTTTAATCTTGCTTGGCAACTAATGGTCTACATACCCTGTCCAGGGAGGATGGCTCATTCTGTGAACTTTGGGTCATATCATTGCCTGTGGGAAAATATTATGTGGAGACATCATCATTTTCAGTCACACCAAATCTAACCTTAATTGCAACAATCCAAGGAGTAAATAGGTAGCATTATAATTCAAACAGATCTTCATTTTCTCAAGAAAAGTATTTATAGAGGCAATAAAATGCAGAATGAATTTTCTAGCTTTATTAATCTAGTTTTAAAAAAAGATAAAAATGAACCCTGTTTACTCAGATTTGTTGATCTTTATCTAAATGCCTGCTAGAATTATTCTATTTGCTTTTTGTTGAATGAAAAATTCAGATCAATAGAAGACTTATCTCCTTGATTTGATGTTTTGTAACATCTGCTAATTAGAAAGAAGGTATTAGAATTGGTGATTTTCACTTAAATAGAGCTTAATAGTAGATTCTTGAAGCTTCTGAAAAGTGAGGTACAATTACAGTTGAGCATAGAGTAAATGTTGGGAAGGAGGGGATGGTTGGGTTGGGGTTCTTTAAGTCACTGGAAATTATATATAAAGATAATGCTCTCCCTCCAGATGACAAAAAGAAATTAGTATTTGAAAAGAGAACGGGCCTTGTCCACAAATACAAGCTTGACAAAGCAGCCTGTTGCATATCTATAACAAACAGAAAGCAGATTAGCAGCCATTGTGCTGAGATGGTAAATCTACCAAGGATATTCTGTATCAACAGAAAATTGGGGTGGGAGGTTTAACAATAACTTGCAATTTTGGAGACAATCACTTATTATAGATTTCTACTTCTTTTTCCTTGTCTCTTTTTCTTGAAAGCAAGCAAACAAAAATCCTGGAAGACTTTTATTTTTCTTCATTTTTCCTACCTACACATTGATATATATGTCTTACATATACATACAACATACACATTAATAGCTACTCACAAAAACTTCTGCAGTGATCTAAGCTGTAAGAGAAAGTATGTGGAAGCTGCTAGATCAAAATCTTTAGATTTGATACAAAAGCAGAGTGTTACAGTGGCTTCTGCAGCAGGCTTATAGCAGAAAAATCCCTAAAACACTACTAATCTTGAAGACACACCCACAGCACCAAACTCCTCCTGGCTAGCAGGAAAGGGTGAGTCAGGAGGAAGGGTGCCTACACCTAATGCTGTGGAATTCTTACATATCACAGGTACTCATATAGGCAAATAATCACTCGCTCTCATTATTGTGATATTGTGAGGGTCGTGAGGCACTGGAACAGGTTGCCCAGAGAAATCGTGGATGTCCCATTTCCTGGAAATGTTCATAGCCAGGTTGGACAGGGCTTGGAGCAACCTGGTCTAGTGGAAGATATCCCTGCCCATAGTAAGGGGATTGGAACTGGATCGTCTTTTAAGGTCCCTCTGACACAAGCCATTCTGTGATTACTGCAAACAAATGAGCAGTAACATGGATGAAGCATGCACCAATAGTGAAGCGGAGAGCATTTTAAATGATGGCAAAAATAAGAGAATAAGGAGTATCAGAGCCAAAAAACATCTATATGAGGAGAGATTTAGTAGACTGGAACTTCTCAGCATAGAAATATGACAGAGCCCAAAGGAATCTTGATTGGCTTAAAGAATATGAATAGCACATAATTAATACGCAGCATCTCATAATACCAGAATTACTGAGGAGCTGGTTTTAAGACAAACAGAAGTTCTTTTCCACATAATGCAGAATATTTGCAGAATATATGCAGAATATGTTGCTGCAGTGGAATTTCTTTTAGTATTCCAGTAACATCCACTGCAGGTCATAGGGGACACTCACAGGGACAGATTTCTGTTTTGAACCAGAATTGTGCTTCTTTTGTTCTCATGAAAAAAACATTTTGAAGGAGTATTTTCTTGTCACACGTGTGGAAATCTAATCAGTGTGACACATACAACATTCAACAAAAAATAAGATACTGGCAACAATGGGTATACTTCTGTGCATATACCCCAACACGTGGGAAACTTCCATCAACAAAAATGTAAGCTAATCTGAAGTGTTGTGGGTGAATATGCCATTTTTAACGTGCCTGGTAACTCTTCATGGATTAGCATATTCTTCTTCCTAAAAACTCACCAGACAGTGAAGCCAGAAATTCCAATTACATTTGTAAGCATATACTGCATTATCTTCAATTGTACAGCAACTACAATGTCTCTAATTGAAGTTGGCTCAATGCAGAGCATCAGTTTTAATTCCTGAGTCATTTTCCAGTAATGAAATAGCTGTATTCAGGGCACAGTGTGAGAACATGTTTGATGGTTATGTTAAATTGTGCTACAGCTACCTTTGGGGAGCATCTGAATTATTTATTGTCTGCATGAAACCAACCACTATTTTCCTATGTGAAAAAAAACCCTGAGTTATTATTCATAAAAGTACTGCCTTAGACACATGTGTGAATAGTAGTTTAATTACATTTTTCATGTGTTCAGAAAAACTAGCAGATATTTTATGTTCATGTCTTCTTTAACATTACTCTGCAGCAAAAACACCTGCCATCCTTCCTGCAAATTAATACATACAAGAGCCTCAATGAAACACAAGGGTCAAGGGTTTTTCAGACATGGCTAGAAATGTCTGAAGTATGCAATGAATCCCATAATTTGTGAGCTGTAAAACCTACTACTCAAAACAAGCAGCTGAATGGGCCTTAAACCTAGGGATCTTAAGTCAACAAGCTTGGGATAATAGTTTGTCTTCTCTTGTAAAGGAAACCATTATCAGTTCATTGCCTACCTTCTCCATTGAACTGTTTGCAAGTCACGAGCCGGCTTCTGAATTCTTCATTTTCTGCAAGCATTTTTGAAATGACTTTCCAGACCTTAGGCCAGACTTTAGACTGAAAGATAAAACTGAACTTTCTCAGTGAAGCACACAAAAAGTTTGCAAAAGGGCAAAACTTTGAACTCTCCAGCATGATTTTGAAGTCCAGCTGGTTTTTTTGCTGAGGATTGAGAAGGGGAGCTGTAGAGTAGGGATATATATGGGGGATATACTGAAAGAACCACCTCTATTTCAGAATCAAGACATAAATTACTCCATGATTTTCCACAAGATCTCCTCCTGTGTTGTCTGAAACTCTTGTTTATCCAGGACTTGTGAAGTGCCCTTCTAGATAAGAACAGCTTAAAAAACCTGTGTAGAGCCATTAAACTCTCTTCAAAGTCATCCAAAATGAAGGGGGAATAAGGGGGGGAATATGAAGATTGCTTGTTTTTCCAGGAGCAAAACTTTCCATGTAATCCTTCAAGAGGACTGTAATTCAGATCCCATGCTCAGATTCCAGAATAGCAATGGCCTTGCCTATTTCATATCAAATCCATATTCATCTGTTTTATAGATGTTGATGGCCTTTATTTTAGAGGCATAAAGGTCTGTCTATAGTGGGTACATTTCAGACTTGTGCATTGAAAATATTAAATTGGAACTATTGACAAAGGCATTCAGACAGAGAGGCAGGCTAACAGATGTAAATGACTGACAATATGCTAACGTTATGACTTTTACTAGACCCCATCCATGAAACTAGTTTAAATCTAAAGATAATTCCTTTCCCATGGACATTTATTGCTCAAACATAATACATATTCCTCATTCTTTTTGAAGACTATTTAATGTACTAGAAGAGTGATATTACAGTATGTTATTAGTTGTACCCCTGAAGTCAGTAGTACTTTGCTGTTTTTAAATCAAGTATCTGTGACATTACTATATTATTGTCTAGCTGATTACTTGTACTTCACGCATTGCAAAATCTCCTAATGACTTACTATTTTAATAAAGGTGTCTTAAAATGTCAAGCATTTGTTGAACTACTGAACAGGAACAGAAATACATTTGTGAATCAGAAAGTAATTTTGAATTGCTACTAGTATGGTGTTATTACCTCTTATTCTTGCCTCCACTTATTTGTAAACTATAGGGATTCTTTGCTTAAAATGTAAAAGGAAGAGGAGCTGCAGAGCTTTTCTCAGCTGGGTTTGACCCAGCAAGGTGTGCAGCACCCTGGCCCAAATCCAGCAAAGCGTTTCAGTACAGGCATTAAGTCAACAGCACACTCTCATTTTTCAAGGTAAGCACGCACTTAAGTGCTTTATTGAATGAGAGCCAGAATTTTAAAGCCTCCAGAGAGGGAAAATAACACCATTTTTCTTTTCTGTAAGTAAGGTTTTCAGTAACAGACTACCAATTCAATCTTTTAATCTCCTTCATGCTCTCACATAGACAGAATAAGCAGGAAGCAATTTTCTCAAATGCAAAGGCACCTAATTCAGCTCTCACATTTTATACCTTTTGCTTCTTTCGTTTAATTACTTTATCAACATTTCTTGAAGGGAGGGGGAAGTCGAAGGTGTCAGCCTTGGCCTCTTGAAGGTCACCTAGGCAGAGAGTTTAGAGAGCATTCTGAGTGCAACATATTCCTGAGGAAGCTGTAGATCTAGAGAGATACTTTTTTCTGGTCCCAGCAGGTTACAGGATATCAGAACTTTCATTGTGCTAACTATCACCTTGCTTATTTTCTCCATTATACTGTGGAGAAAGTGGGTGTCTCAAACTCCACAAAACAGATTTCAAAACTGTACAGCAACCAGAAATTAAAACAACAGGTTTTGGGGAAATACAAACTAGCTTTTAATCCCCTCTTTTTCCCCTTCCTATGGCAGCTACTAAAATTCTGCCTGGGCTTTAAGAGGAGGTGAGTAGACTGAGGCAAGAAATCAAACAGAGCACTAAAAAACAGAAGCAAGAAGGACAGGTTGATCTTGTGGACTCAAAACAGACATAGAAGGAGGAAGGATTCATGTGAGTTCCAGCTACCCAAGTAGCTGCTGGACAGGCATGGCATAAGCTGAAGAAAAGAGTGACCCATGTGGGGATGTTGAACAAGGTCACAGCCGTGGGCTCATCCCTTGCCACAGCAAGGCTTCCTCCAGGGCAGCACAGCCCCACCACCAGGTGTCCAAGGCAGCCACAGAGATTTGAGTCACCCATAATCACAGGCTGCCTCCGAGCTACGGATTGGCATCACTTAGATAATAACCCTCAGAACTGGCACTTTTAATTGCAGACTAATGCAACATTTCACTTTGCCATCTTCAGAAAAATGGCTTTTAGGAGGAGGAAAAAAATAGAAGAAAATGAAAACATCTCAAGAGCAATGTTAACAAAACTCAGGACCACCCTAACAGTCTCACCCTTCACTTCCAGCTCACATCTCAGCTTCTTCTCCAGAAGCCAGGTCACGCTCCCCATTTTCACTCCATTTCATCCCATGCAGCAGAGCTGTTTCATAACAGCTCACAAACAGTGGAAAACTGCCTACTTCTGTTGTTTGCTGTTATAAAAAAGCACCCACACCCGTGCCCATCCCAACTTTCTTTGGTTCCAGCCACAAAGAAAGAACATTAAGAAACATCTTCGAGCTGTCCCAGCAGCAAGGGGCCCAGCAGCACAGCGGCTCTCTGGTTAGGTGGGAATCTCCTGAGGAGAGGCAGGAAAGATCCCAAAGTGAAGTGTGAAATACAGCAGCCCTGATGGGTGTACCTTATTTCTGGCCTTATCGCTTCCACAGGGAAGGACAGGGAAGGCTGCACTGCAGGCAGCCACCCCACCTCACCTCACCTCACCTCACAGGATGGAGACACTGTGGCTGGACAGCATGAAGAGTTTGGGGCAAAATATAACATTTTTCACTCATGTAAGTTTAACACCATGTCCCTCCTCCTGCCTCAGTACCAGTCTAAGTGTACCAGGCATAACAAGAAAAACATTGTGCCACCTTCAGCCCTCAGCGTGCACAGTCTCTGCCTGAGGGAAGAACCCAGTGAGGCAGCATCAGCCATGCACCACACCGAAATAAACCATTTCCCGCCCAAAAAGGAGACATGGTGCTGGCTCTGCCCTCCCGCGCCCAGGGGCACAGAGGTTCCAGGGTCCAGCTATACATACCGTGATGGCTGCTGACAGGCTCCACCACACCACAGCTCCCCACCGCCTGCCTTCTGCCACCTGCAGCAGGCCCAGGGCTGGTCTTGTGCCCCAGCACCAGGGCACCCCTCTGCCTCCTGACCTTCCCTCTGGGGCTCAGCTGGGAAAACAGGGGCTCACCCCGGCCCTCCTTAGCCTCCTGGCAGCTGCTGCCATAGCGGATGACAGAGCCGCAGCGGTGCGAGCCGAAGCTGTTGACATAGACGAGCGGCACAGGTGGCCTCCTCTGGCCGCGGCCGGGCGCCATGTGTGGCAGGGCAGGGTGGCGGCGAGGCCCCTCTGAGGCAGGGCGCTGAGGGGAGACAGGGGCTCTGGGGCGCCTGTGGTGGCTGCTGCACTGTGAGGAGCACTGTGCCAGTGGCCCCTTCCTCTGTGCAGGCACAAAGGGGACCTGCAGAGCTCCTCTCCTGCCCTATCCTGTCTGACCACTGCTGTCCCATTTCCATGTCCCAGCTGGGTGGTGGAAAAGGGAGAAATAACTGTTTTCTGAGCAGGAACAACGAGCTAAGTGCAGAACAGGAGCTGGCCTTGCACCATCCCAGTGTCTCCCTCACCCCCATAGTAACCTGCCCCAAAAGGTTGCTTTTGGCCAGCATTAATTAGGGTTTGGTGCAGAGTATGTGGCCTGAAGTCATATATTGATCTACTTCATGCAAGTTATTGATGAAGTGATATAGGGGACTCCAGGCTGAAGGTAATGATGCATTGTTTGTCTTTGCTGTGACTTACAAAAGGAGAACAAGCAGCATCTCTCTGGTGTGGGTGCTTCTGCACTGAAACACTGCTGCTGCATTGATACACAGAGTTTCACACCACATACTCAGAACAGTTTACCTGCTTGTGCTGGGTGGATGGCTCCAGCAACCCGCTGAACAATGCTCATGAAACATCGAGTACCTGTTGTCAGCCCTTCAAGCATCAGCAGGCACACAGGGCATTGTGTGATTATGAGGGGGTGCCCACTGCAGTCAGGAGTCCTTCCCATGGTTTCCTGCAGAGACGTGTCTCATAGCAGCAGCAGGATCATGAGATATGGCCAGTGGCAAGTGGAATGTCTCAAGCCATTTAGGAGCACAAGTCCCATTGATTTGCTTTTGCTTTGGCACTGAAATACTGCTCCATATTATTTCACAGAGTTTCAGCACACTGCGCTGCTCAGAGGAGGGAAATAAATAAGAGTCAGAATAAATGCTATGAAAAGACCTGTTTCTAATTGTTTCAGCAGCACCAGCCATATGAACGATGTCGTCCTGGTGGGAAGAGCACGAAGCAAACCGGAGGCTTCCCCCATCCTGTGAGGAGGCTGAGCGAGGTGTCGGGGCTGCAGTCCCCTGGTCCCCTCGCCGGGATCCCCTGGCAGGGCCGGGTGCTGCACAGGCGGACCCCGCGAGGTGGCAGCCTTACCTACGGAACCAGCCCGTGTCCCCGCTCCCTGGCTGCAGACCCGGCGCTCAGGGCAGGCAGAAGGCCCACACTGGGCAATCTCCCAGCATTTCCAGCTATTTTATACACTGTCGGGGGGAGGAAAGAAAAAGGCATTCCGCGTATGCAGCTGAAAAAGAGGAAAACAGCTTCCAGAGGCACAGCCTGACGGTTTGCCAGAGGAAATCACTATTTCCCAATAAAAGGACATCCACTGCAGGCCCTAAAGTGTATGGACTAAAAAGGAGGTCACAGATAAGATACAACCATCGAGTCACTGGGCTTAAGATCGAATCTGATCTCAAAACCATCCAAACACCAGAGACTCCCTCCTCCTCTGCAAAAGACCTGAGCTAACAAATGGTCCCAGTGAGGCAGCAGCCAGAGAGTTCAGCGTGGGGATATTAAACCCAGAGAGAGGCAACCAAATAGCTTCATTAAAAACTGATCCCGGTGTGCAAACTTTGTCATGCATATTAATCACAAAGCCCTGGTAATGAAAGCACTCCTTTTGCTCAAATACAGAGGTCTCAGTCCGCATGACAAAAAAGCATCACTGAACACATGCACACAAACCTAAAGAGCACCATTACCATTCCATGCCTGTCTTCCCATTGTGTGTGAACACTTGCTGCTGCATCTTCCTGACCCAGAGTTCCTTTTGCCAACTGGCAGACTGCTTCCTTCCTATGGCCTCAGCAGGGCAGCAGGGCTGCCAAATCAGTGGTTTTCTCAGCATCTGTATTTATGGAATAGACTTCCACCCTGCTAATACAAATACACATGCTTTGTGTGGCACAGTTTTTTCCACTTCTCCCAACAGCACATTGCCAGGACTTTGATTTCAAATGCAAATTCAGCTCAGATCCCTTTAAGAATCTACTAAGAAAAATCAATGTCACCCAAAACCTATGAGTGGTCTGCAGATGTGGAAAATTCAGCTATTTTAGCTGCACACTGTTCATCCTCTTTTCCACATGTGTGAACTGATTACCAGCCAGCCACTATCTCTGTATTTATCACTTGGAACAAACATCTCAGCTTTTCACATATTCAACTGTCTAGTTAAAAATATACCAGATTCTAGCTTTCAGCCTGTGCCTCATCACGCTGTTTGTTTTGTATTCAAATGTCAGCTTCTCCAGCTCAGAACTTGCATTGTTTCCTGAATTTTGTTTCAGTTTTACTTTAGCCAAGTATGAACCACCATCTATTTACCTTGACTATTATTTTAAAATAAGGTAGGTTTTGGTGGTAGCAAGCCTCCAGCTTATGCCAAGGAGAAGAAAGAAGCCAACAGGACACTGCTGGATGCATATTTAGTGATTCCCTGCAAAAACAAAACTTCTACTGCTGGAGATTTGTTCTTCTATGAGAATTCTTTGCAGTGGAGTTAAAAAACAAAGTACTTGCATGATTCAACATAATTCAAGGTGAGGCAGATTGCTTATTAAGTGCTACATTATCTTGATCAACTGCAAATTGTGAATACATCTGAAATATGAATCTTAACACTGTTAACAGGGATTTTTACCTGGAAAGCATGCTAATTCTGACTACAGCTCCAGTCAAACCTTGTTAATTAGACCCTCAGCAGTAGCACAAACAATTACTGTATCTCCTTTTTCCCAGAATGTTTAATAAGAGTCGCTGGAATGAGGTATTTTATTAGAATGGGGTTACTTTACAGAAGACACTGGGGACCATTTATTAGGAATCATTACAAAAAAACAAAACTCACCATTTCTGGTAAAAGGAAGCAATGCATTGTGCCTTCAGCTTTTGCTTACTTGTAAAATTTCATCATTTACAATGGCTCTCACAGTTAATTATGTAAGCAATAACACAGTGCAGCAGAGAGATAAAATGGCCAGTTGCCATTTTAACACACCTGCATTTCATATTAATGAACCTGCATATCTCAGATTGTTTTACAAACCATACTTGTGGGAATCGCTTTATCCGCACCAGTTGTAAGGAGAGGCATATTTTCCCATATTTCCATGCTGCCTTAAAAATATTTAGCAGACTAAAAACCAAGTTTGTGACATAAAAGCCTGAGCCTCCCCATGAGAGATTTCCAAGTCACTGAGAAGATCCACAGACTTCATAATCAAAACCCAAACCAAGGAGAGAGAAACCCTTGCCTTGAAAGGACTTCATGTTACAGTACTTAAATAGAGATTGACAACCCAAAATAAAGCTATGGGGGAAAATCAAAGAGGCAAAATGAGCACTGAAGATAAAATGGGAATTAAAACAACCTTATTTCCTGGAAAGACTTGTAGTCAAGTGGATACAGCAAAAGGCAGGCAAGGATTTCAGTTTCTCTGATTTCACTTTTCCACACAAATGTGCCAGTTCCTGGTACTTAATAATGACATCCCTTGTTTCCATATCAGAAATAGTAAAACTTTTATCAAATTTTAGGTTGCAGAGACTGTGATCTTTAATGTTACTATGGCTGTTCTGGGGAATGTGCAGTTAGACCTTACATGAAAACACAGATGAGGAAGTTCAGTCCTACCTACAATAAACCTCCAGATATTGTCTCTCAGATCCTGGAAGAATTCTGGTTCAGTACAGAACATAAAAAGCAAAAATCACTACATCACCCCCAGCATTCACCAGTAATGTAGATCTTCTGAGACCATCTGTCCCAGCATGGAAAGCCCACGTTTTCTTAGCCTCTATGAAATCTAACACGATCTCAGGCCAAAGTGTGCCTGCAGGCTACCATAGTCACCAACGCAGTCTGTCTGCATATACAAGACAATCCATTCCACTGCAGTATAAATACCACTGAACATACTCATTCCTCAGCAGTAAGCCCACTTTGTAATGGCACTAGGGTCTTTGCAGAACTGTTTCAGATACTGAGTATTTACCCTCTCCCTGCCCCCAGAGATGCGAGGATGCTGCCAGCAAAGGAACAGAGCAGGGTTTCTGTCTCCAAGGATTGCTAGCTCCTCTGGGAAAATGGAAGCAGTCACTGCTTTGTTCTTCCATCACATTCCTCCAAAGACATCCCCCTGTAAAAGCAACACTTGAGCAAATTTTCTTGCCACTGAATGAAGAGCTGATTCCATCACTGTGTACAGAGCAACATCTGCCTGTGAACAGCTGGTCTTTGCTGGAGCAGAGCTGGGGGCTACTGCCTGCTGCTTACAATGAGAACGCTCCTCAGAACCCTAAAAAATCACATTTTACTCACTGAAAGAAAATTCAGAAACACTTGGCATGAATGTACTCCATACACAAACCAGTGCTGGGCATGTGCTTAAAGCGACAAGCACTGTCTTGAAAAATGACACTTGGCTAAATTGACAACTTAATGCTTTCACATGCATAGCAAGGCATAAATGATCACTAAGCTAACTGACCCTGGTTCATGAGTCAGCAGCAGTGTGAGATGGCGACTTAGGTTGAGCAAACACTGTCTCAGGCATTGGGCTGGAGAAGGTTGGAGACTTTATTTTAATGCACTGCTCTGTGTGTGAATAGCTGCCCTTCCACAGGTTACAAAACTGTGTTAGGAGCTGCACTCAGCATGTGCCAACTGCACCTACACCATCAGTCTGCTGTTTCAGTATTTAAGTAAAAGCAATGTTCTTTACTCACACGAAAAGCTAAGCAACATCAGCTGCTATACAGTTTTGGAATAAAAAAAATGTCACATAGCTGAGAGTGATAAAAACAAGTCCATTTTAAACATTAAGATTAATGCAAGACCAAAAATGTGCTCTCAATGTTACACTTTACCTGCATCGTGGGTTTAATCTCAGCTTTCATGACTCACCAAAATTAAAATTTCAGCAAGAAAAACATAATCCAACACACACCTTATGTATTTCCATATTGTACATACACGAGGAGGACTGAGAACTTTTGACTAGCAAATTTTGCGAAGGAACCTTAACAGAATAGTTATGGTTTCTGCAGCACCCTATACAAGGTGACTGAGGGAGATTCCCCTAGTGGTACATTCAAATAAATTAACGTTTGGTATGAAACTGTCTCTCTGAAAAGCTCTACAGAAAGTCAGCAAATTGCAGTTCCTGTGTCATGAAAACAGGTGATACCTGATGGCATTAATGAGAGCATCTAGTTTCAGAAAGACTTTCTCCCCATCTTAAATGGGGAGCTCAGTAGTATCTTTAGAGCTCTGATTCAACCCCCTTCAATTTCTGACTGTAAAGACAGCTGCAAGTATATTCTTATCCCAGAGGCTGTTTTTCATACTGACAGACTGAATCAGCTTATTTTACACAGAGGAAGAGATGTCAGTGTTTTTTTCTCATCTATCCTTTCCGAGGCTATTATTTGTCCTAGATTTCCTGTAGGCATGCAATGTTCATTTTGGACCATGGCTG